TGGAGCATGAGGACAGAGGACGTTGAGTAGTTGCCCACTGATCACCCATCTTTCATTCTATACACTTATTGAGGAACAGACCTGTGGAACAACACTCTGTGATCACATCATACAAACCAGGATCTAAAATAAGGTTATGTAGACAAATTGTTTTATTTCTTACTGTTTTGGTGTCTGATTTTGCAACCATATCATTCCTTTCCTACAGCTTCTTCATAAAATTTAATTTACCTCAGGATCCATAGGTAGAAAACAGAAATCTTATACCAACTCTTGCCTAAATCAAGAATAATGTCTTTGGAATTAATGGAAATAAAGTAACATAAGTGAAAAGTCAAACCTTTCTGTGCAAGCTACATTTCAGAACTTGGATTCAGTGTACTAAAGCTAGGCAGCAAAATGGGGTGTCACCTTTTTTTTTTTAGTCATTCTTAAAGTCTAGTGAAACTTTACAGAGCACCAGTATTGAACATTCTTCTCTATCAGCCATTAAGAATAGCAGAAGTTTTACAAGTCCCTACTATGAAGCTATCACCTTTACCGCTACCACTTCCCCACATAACCTCATAGTTTTAAATTTGGGGATGATTCATACCTTTTAGTCTCTCCTCCAGAAATTGGATAACACGAGCTATTTGTTGAGTTATCTCAAAAGATTAAGTGACATCACAAGGGTTCTGGGGAAGAAAGTAATCAGTACAACAGAGGGGATAATCAGGAAGCTGATTAGAATAAAGATACTGCTGTGATATAGCCCATTTGGGATTTAATGTATGAAAAGATAAAAAGATGAAAGAAGAGGAATAACAAAGAGCAAGGGATAACAGTTCCTTGTAAAAGAAGGAGGAAAAGAAAGATATATGACCTTATATTATCTAATTCTCCTAGCAAGTCTATACTAACTGATATTTGTGTCGGTGAGTCCTATTTGGTCGTGTTAGAACATGGTTTGAATAAAATAAGGTACTGTGCTGTATGCCTGTTTTAACAAGTGCCAAGCCAAGTGATTTACAAAAACATTTCAGCTCCTCATACCTGCAATGGCATTTTTCAAGATTCTTGCCACATGCCACACACGGATGGTTGTTTGCCACCCTCCATCTGAGAGGTGACAGCGTTTCATGCTGTCTTTTGTCAGCACCTTCAAAAGCATCTCAGTTTTCAACTCAGTTTTTCTTTCCACCTTGCAGATGAAGAGTTCAGTCATCCTGGCACTGAGGCATTGCTCTGCACAGGGAAGTTCAGCGAGATGAATGGGGAAGGAAGAAGAGCAGAGGCATATTCATTAAAGAGAAAGTAAACAAACCCCCAAACATGCCTTAGATGGTGTCATACATCTCATACCTCATACACGCTGTAACTAAGCACTGTAATGCTGTGACCATCACTCATTCCTGTTCCTGCAGTTCCATCTGCAGCTGCAGACATTTGTGAATATTTCTGCGCGACTTGTCAGAATAGGACCTCTCTGGACCCCTTCCGACACAGTTCAACTTTGCAGGGTAAATATTGTTCTCAAATCTTCATGCTACATGAAAACTGTTGAAAGTGACATGGTGAAAGCAAGGCTTGGTCCTACTGGGACTATTAAATAATGTGTTGCACGGGACTTGGTGAACACATGAATAATTTGGCCCCCCAGCAAGGAGCTGGATTTGACATGACTCCCGTGCTTCTGACATTCCTACTGCTAGGGACTCCTACAGGGAAAGCCAGGCTAGCTGCAGTCTCAGCGGCGGAAACAGCCACCCACACATGATGTTGAAAGGCTACTTGAAGAACAGATGACAGAGCAACTGGTTCCTGCTCACCCAACTCATGTATCCCAGCACAAAGTCAAGTGGCATTCAAATTAAAGTATGCTAGCTTTTAAAGATACGCCACAGGGTGAACAGAAGATAACCACAGACAGATGGCTTGTGTGTGTGCTCACTGCTTCACGGAGAATCATACACCCCTCCTGAAATTATTTCAGTCTCTTGAGCGTGGCACACAGTGATCTCAGGATCTGTGGGATCCAAATGCTTCCTATTTCAGTGTAGTCAGCAGTAACATTAGTTTTCTGTAGCATGTTCTCCACTGTGTTCACCAGACTCTTGGTATCAGGGCTTCTTCTCCTCTACATCACTACAGACTACACATACTGGCTTTGCTGCCTGCTAACCAGCTGCCTCCTAAGAAGCTGCAGCTTCCTGTCTCGGGAGCTTTAAACACAGGCATTCTTGGTGGCAACAGCACCATGACCTTGTATTTCCATGAACAAGTCCTGTGTAAAGCAATGACTTTCTGGGGGGCTGAGCCGCACCTTGACCTCACAACACAGGTCTCTGCCTTGCCTCCAAAGTGACGATCAACCATTCAGTACGAGAAAGCGAACTTCTGCGATGAGATCCCAGTTGGGTCGGTCTCTGGAGAGGAAGGTGAGAAGTGCCAGTGCCGTGCCTGCGCCTGGCAGGGAACAGCAGCAAAGAGGGGAAGGGATGGAGTTACAAGCCCCACATTTTTGTGAGGGAAACGTTATACTTGTCAGCGCTCACCGCACCACATCCTCGCATTTTTTTCATTTGCACACGGCTGCAGCACGACGACGGGCTCGGGTCCTGTCTCCGCAGCATCCCCGGAGCTCGCTGCCGGCCGGGACGGGCACTCTCGCCCCGGCCGTCTCGTCGACCC